GCACCGCCGCTGCCTCCCGCGGGGCTCGGCCCACCTGCCGCCCGAGCGCCTGCAACTACAGCGACAGTGCCCGGCGTTACTTCCCCGCAGTGGAAAGAGCGAGGATTGATGGAGGTTTATTAGCGACAGGGTGCTTTCCCCGGTGAAAGAGGCCCTGTCTAGCCGGGAGCTGGACTACCCCCGCCATGCGTTCTCTGCCGTGGGCTGGGGGCCTGGTCCTGTATGCCCGTGGGCGGGAGGTGCCTCGCAGTTCTGAATTGACTCTGCGAAACAGCTAGCGGCTGTAAACATATCATTAGAGAGCTGCAAAAGCTGGAACTTGTCCATGCCCAGTTCACTGCCTTAATGCGATCGGACAGCGGGGCTGTGGAGCGCATACCGCAGTTGTATGGGGACAGAGTTTTCCCAGAGTTCAGGAGACTCAGGGGAAACCAGGAGCCATCTTTATAGACAGTCCTTTTAGCAGTGACCTAGGAATTTCCATCCCGTCAGTGCCCTGTGGGAACCACGGCATGATTGCTTTTTCCAGGGCTTTGTCAGCCCAGTTTTACGTGATGAAATTTGGCCTTGTTCTGTCCTTCTAAAGCTAGAATCGGTGGTTCCTGAATGAACGCTGCTTCTGAGAGTGGTTCTGCATGGGTTTTTGTTCTCCCTTTCCTAGGGTTGAGACGATTAAAAATCATTGTTCTGTGCTAGATACAGCGCATAACATGAAAAACTGGTTGGCACAGCTCTTCGTTACACAGCCATGTGACCTTATCAACGTATGAGTGATGGCTGTAGTTTTTCCTCCTGTTTGTGTATCCTAAAGACCAAAATTTATTTCACCTTCTCTCCGTATATTCTATTTGTTGTTAGAAAATGAAGACCCAGCCCAAAAGACAGAGCCTGCAGGTCAGCTGGTTGATTCTTTGGAGTCCAGTACTTCGCAGAGCGGGTAGGAAAATATTTTTGTGTATTGTGGCCCACATGCATGACAGTCTGTTTTGCCCCTGTGACCTCCTCCATATGGCACTTAATTCTGTGCAGGTGAAGAGAAGGGACTGGAGACTGAATTGTCTGCTTTGGGACAGTATATACTGGAATCAGTATAGGAAGGGCTGTTCTTAAAGGCTTAAGCTTGTTTTAAAGCTTATGAAATGATGAAGTGTAGTTCATGGCTCAGCTATTCAAATCACAGAATCATTCAGCTTAGAAGGAACCCTGCAAGGTTTTGTAGTCCATTGTAAGAGCTAATAATCTTTAAGCAGGAAATTTTCTCTATCCTGTCTGAAGGTTACTTTAATAATTAAGCATTCCTACTGTCTGTAATTTTGGTGGAAGCTGAGCAAGAAAACACCTTTTACTGTTTTCCTGACAACGTTTTGGTTTTTTTTCTTCACCCTTTGTTTCTATGTCACTCCTTCATTAATGCTGCTGATCGACCCTGTTATCAGATGTTTGGCTTGTTAGTATCTGTTGGGCATGTGGTGCTTGTGGCCAAGTCATTGCATTGGTTACAAGCACTAATACCGTATGCAGTGGAGTTTCATTTGCTATCATACATTTGTTGCACAGGATACAATTTCAGAAATGTGTGAGTTAATTACATCAGACAGTAGATAAACCACAACCTCATTGAAAAAGAGGGGAAAAAAAATCTGGCAAAAAACCCCAACAAACCACCCTACTTACTAAAACAGCAGTTTGATGCCATCTTGGCTTGATGCTAATGACATCTGTATCAGCCTTCTTAACTCCAAACATACGTTCTTCCATCTCTTTATTATGTCCTCTAACTTTCTTCGAAGAGATTAATATAGACTGTGAGCAAAATGGCCTAAGTACACGCTGGATACTTGTGAATGTTACCCGATAAATTTGTCTAAGTTAAATCCCCTTTGAAAGGGACAGGGGTGGTGCAAGAGGGTTGTGTGAGGAGGACTCAGCTGAACTCTGTCTTTGTAAATCTGCTTATAAAGCTTGTGTAGCTCTTCCTAATCTTTCAGTGATACTCTTGGGTTTCAGGAGCGTCTGGAGGAAAAAATTCCCAAGCTGTTAGCCCATATGTTGATGGAGAGCCTTTTGAGCAGATATGTGCACCTATGGTAGCAAGTGACCAAATAGCCCTTCTAGGTGTGATCATGCAACTGCTAAGCTAAAAAGCAAGTGGGCTGGAAAATGATGGCATAGAAGTCCAAATTTGTCCTGGGCTGCCAGAGAAATTGTTACGGATCACTGTGAGAGTTCTTCCCTTAAAAAATTGTCCCCTCCAAGTGTCCCTTCTTTTCTTGTATTGTCCATCTGCTGCCATTTTGTGTATCCTGGTATTCAGCTCATTTGAGTTTTTCTTCCTCTGGTCTATCATGCCATTTCTAGGAAAGGAAATCACACTGCTGAGAGAATTTAAGTAAGAAATGGCTTTATTTCTGGATAAAATCTGTACCCCCGTAGGAGTAAAGATTTGGAAACAAAAGCCATATTTGCCCTGTTCTAGTCTTCTCTATGGATGCAGCAAGGAATGCATCTGAGTTGAGCTGTGTATGTTTTGGTTTTTTTAATTTTTTTTTTTAAACTATTCCACACTATACTGATAGTCTGCTCCCTTGCTAGTGAGCATATTTCTCATTTCTGAAAGGAGGCATTTGAGGAAATGCACATATTTGCCATTATTGCTGTGTTCTCATGTTTCTGATCCTTTAGACCAAGGCAGTTCACATTGGTTTTATAGGAGGATTTGCTTTTCAAAAGGGCAACTGTTTCTATTCTCGTTAAAGACTAGGTTGCTTCTCATGAAAGTTTCACATAGTATCGGAGAGTATGACAGAGCAGACTCTTCTGGCATCCCTCTGAGTTCATTTGGGATGATAACTCTTTCCAGTTATAGACAATACCCAGCATTTTTTTAATATAATTTAGAAGAAAATCCTCAACAGAGAGTGGATGCTGAAGATGTTTCCTTTCTTGCCCATTCTTTTCCTGCGACATACCTTTCTTTTTGTTCTAATATGTCCATCTCCTCTTGTCACAGTGCAGTACTTGGACCTCTTTGCTATTATTGTGCTGCTGTTGTATGTCTTACAGCTTGCTTGTCTGTACAGCATATTTGAATATGGCAGAGAGACACCTGGGTGCTCCCTCTATCTCTTAGGATTGCTAATAGGAAAGGCATAATGGGCCACTTAAATAGAGGACATATTCAGGATGGCTGTAAAAACTGTTTTGAATCCTTTCACTGACCCAGTTGACATGTAGTAGCTGGCATAAAAGAAGTTGTCCTTTCTTGAGCAGAAAAGTTGCTACTGATTTCTGCACTTAGTACAGTGTTGGTGAGCTAGCGTGCTGTGGGGTGAGTGCAGTGAATTACTGCTGTCTAAAGGACGGTAAATACGGAGTATCTCACTGAAGTTGCTCCCTCTGGCTCACATGGAAGATAGTCACATGGAAATGAGGGCAGGATTGGGTTGCAAAGGGCTCTTTGTGCAGTTGGCAGGTGCTGACCACAGAAGCTTATTCCCTTCAGTCCATTTGAATTCGAGTTCCAGAGCAGAGTGATTCCTCTGCTGGCTGTACCCTGGGTGCAAGTGCTGAGTTTGTAGTGCTCTCTTCCTCCGAAAGGTCGCAGATTGGGTCGCTCGTGAGTGCGGGCACGACAGAGGATTTGAAGGAAAAAGCTGGCACTTTGGAGGACCAGGAAGTGGCTGAACTAGAACAGAAGCTGCCTGACCAAATCCAGTCCCTCAAAGAGGTAGGTGGGTGTTTCTTATATCTGAAAGGAAGGACAGAGGTGCAGCAATAGTTCTTCCACCCTACTGCTGTGCTTATGGCTATGGGACTGAGGCTTTAAGGATTGTGTTAAGACGAAAGTAGTATTAACATAGGTTCAGTTATATTTTTTTTCTATACATTAGCGGGAAGTAAATGTTACCAGTTTGATTTGCAAAATCACTCCTTTGTCTTCAGCTAGCCCTCGCTTCCTTGCAGTTTTTGGCTCACTAAGACTTCAAGGTTATTCTCACCTTCTGCCTCTTGTCTGGGGCTTCTGGGAATTCCCTTCCAGATTTATGGAAAAGGGAACTGAAAGTGACTCTGTCATCTTTTGTTTCTTTTGGTGAACAGCCAATTTGTTTGCATTACAGATACAGTTGGGAAAACCTGTGCAAGTGGCACCCAGCTCAGGAGCTGTGAGTTTGCATATATGAGGAGAGAGGGCTGGCCCTAGTGAACCAGATGGACTTTTAACTACGACACAGCAAATGACAGTTTGATTGCAGCTGTAGTCTACATGCGCACAGAGCTGAAAGGCTTTCCCTAGAGAGATTGTGTCTTGGGAATTCTTTCCAAGAGTAGTCAGCTAAATCTGTAAGGCTGTTGCTTTGTTGAGAGGTGACAATTAACTCTGAGGCAGATGCAAAGATGTGCCTGTCCAGGGACTTCTGGGGAGGCCAAGGGGTGTGTAATTTGTGAGACTAACGCAGCATTTGACTTCCATGACTTTGGTGCTGTGGGGGAAATAATGCAGAGAGGTGTCTCGGAGTCAGCCATTTTTTTTTAACTAATAGAAGCTTCTGCAGGGTCTGAGTTGGCTTCAGAAAGATGCCTGAATTACTAATGAGTTGTTTTATATCCAGCTCGGGACTTTCTTACCAGGATGGTCTTTGTGACAATGTTTCTTATGTGCTTTGTGCAGGAAGCTGTTGTTCGGATAACCAACTACCATGTACCTCAAGGAGCAGGGGATATAGTCATGATTCAGTCAGATCACACTGGTGCTGTGGATATCCTTTCAGCTGAGCTGGAGACTGCAGACCTCCTTGGGGAGCAGAGGAAAGGTGAGTTCTGAGAGTAAAACACTTGTTAGGGCCACTTTTTAAGTGCCTGCCCTGGCTAGAGAAGAGCAGAGGCTGTCCTGGAGACACTGTTTTAAATTTGGGCTCCTGGCTAGCGAGTGGGAAAACTTCACATCCAAGGCTTCTGGGAGCAGGCTCCAGAATGCAAAAGGCTTATCAGAAATAGCTTCGCTGTTTTCAGATAACAGTTTTTCAGTAGTGAAAAGTCAGGTGAGCCCATGACCTTTTCCCTTGTTTCAGCTCAGCCGCCCCCTCTGGCTCCACCCACCATGTGGACCACGGAGAAGATGAAGGAATTCAAAGCCAAGATGGGAAAAGAGAAGAATGGCCGGATGGTGGTGAAGCGAGGCGAGGTGGTGACAGTCCGCGTGCCAACCCATCCTGATGGGAAATGCATTTGCTGGGAGTTTGCTACAGATGACTACGACATTGGGTTTGGAGTCTATTTTGACTGGACCACGGTTACTAGCACTGCCATTACTGTTCAGGTCAGCGAATCCAGTGATGAGGAGGATGAAGAGGAGGAGGAGGAAATTGAAGGTTAGTGCAGAGCTTATAAGGGTTAATTTGTGGTGTTTGTTGCTGTGCTGCTGAGAGAGTCTGTCAGATGCTGTAATTTCCATCTGCTTTGTTTACTCAGCCCACTTGTTATCTCTGTAGCCTTTTGTGTTCTTGGTTAGGCTGTGATGAGAAAGCATTTAGCTCTTCCTGCTTCAGCATATGTCAATGGCTGTCCCTCTCCAAGAGCGTTCTTAAAATTGAACACATTGAAAAATAAAATCAGAATTCATTTTTTCAACTTCTAGCTGATAAAAAGATTAGGGTCTGAAATTTTAACTTGACTGTTTTTCTTAGCCTCTCAGACTGAGAAATTTCTGGTGGTGAGTAGAAGCAAAAAGATTTTGTTTCTGGGGTTTGGTTCCTCCACCCCCCACTCCCCCACCCCCAGTACATCAGTAGCTCCTGCTGACTGCATTTGAGAGGATTGCTACCTGTGTCTTTGTACTTATGAAACACATAGCAGTGTTGCCTCTTCTGTGGCTTCAGTGGATGTGTGACCAGTGTAGCTGGGGGGGTTGGTGTCTGAAATTAATTTTGCAGGTTCTCCAAAGCGGTTCCTGTATGAGGAATTGAGGATATAAACACAGTGAGGTTATAGCTAAGAGCTTTCTTGCCTTTCTTTTGCTTCAAGTCTGTATCACTGGACCACTGTTGTGTGTATAAAAGCAGTGAGGTGTCTAAAAGGTAAGTCCAGGGAGAGGAGACCAGGCTAGCAGGCAAGTGGATACTGTCCCATCAGTATTCCCAAGCGAACTGGTTCTCAGCGTATCCTTTGTCATGATAAGGAAAGCTGGACTTTGTGGGTATTCTTTGCAGAAAGGTCAGAGTAGATGCTATGGGTAATGCTATCATAGTTAGCCTTTCATATATCTGCATTCCTCTGCTGCATTCTGGTCTTGTTGATCTTTTTCTGGACTACCTAGTGGCTTAACGGGCTCTGGCCTGCTTACTTGTCTCCTCTCTCCCATTCAGGACTCTCCCCTGTTGGTGATGTGGAAAGGGGTTCCAAAAGCTATCTGCGGAACCGCTATGGAGAGATCATGCCTGTGTATCGGAGGAACAGCCATCAAGAGGTGCAGGCAGGCAGCCACGAGTACCCAGGCGAGGGCATCTATCTGCTGAAATTTGATAACTCATACTCTCTCCTCCGCAATAAGACTCTGTTCTTTCACGTCTATTACACTAGCTGAAGAAACGGGAAGGGGCAGAGACAGCAGGCAGGTAATGGTGAGTGTGGCAGGCTGCCACCTAGCCCTGGTACCGCCTGATGGGCACTGCCATGTGACAGAACCAAGGCACAATGCTGCCGGCTCCTCTTCAGACACTAACTGGTTTCTCCCCACACCCTCCTTCCCCGCTGTCCAGTGGAGAAAGGTAGTTGTGACTGCCTGTTGTCCACAGGCAGCTGCTCTTTCTGTAAAACTTTGGGAGGTCTGCTCTGTGTAGGCATCGGGCTGGACATTCATGTCACAGCCGGTAAATGCCCAGCAGCCAGGTTCAGGTGGTCGTGATTTCAATCTGTTGCGCTGGTACGAAACGAAGTGAAAATATTCTTGATCTGTTACTCTTCCGTGAATAACTTTTCCAACTCTCCTGCTGCATTTGCGTCACTAGAGGGCAGCTGTCAGCTGCAATGAGCCAAAAGCACAGCTGGCTTGTCACCTAGCCACTAATAATCTCATCCTCTACCAACACTACGTGTCACCAGCAGCCAGTGCTTCCTTCACTCGTGTGGGTGGCAGTGCAGCTGACCAGCGGCAGCCCGTGCTGCAGTGGCTAGGCCATGCCACAACAGGTGGGCCCCAAACGGCAGTCACAGCATGTGTTTGAACAGGGGGTGGGGGGAGGGTGCACATCTATAAGTCCGTAAGAAGGTTTTCCTACAGATTAAGAATTGGATGTTACACCTGTTGATTGTAGAGATATGTAGATGATTAAAACTTCAGTGACCACCAAAAGCTTTTTCTGTAATCCAGATGTGAAGCAGAAGAAATTACTTACTGCTGTGCTGAATAAATACAAAAAGGTTGGAGTACAACCAATAAACATACAGGAAATGTTTCTTAGTAGTAGCATGTAGGTTCACTGGTATTGCTGCCAGCTGGATACCATATGTAGCATGGAAAAGGCTCCCCAAAGAAGTGTAGCTTGTTAGCTGCTATTGCTGTTGCAAAGGTATAGTTAGAAAAGAACATCTCTGCTCAGAAACTCGAATGGTGTGGGATTTAACCAATCCTTTCTGTGAACCAGAATCAGCAAGGCCATTGCTAACCCTGACCACGTGGTAAAGGATGGAGCTTCCTGGCGTGTTTTGGTGGCTAATGATGGCATTAGTGATCACCTTCTGCTCAAGTACTGGCAGAGTTGCACAAGGATTAAGTTAATCTTTCGAGAGATGAATTTTAAATCATGTTTATCTGTAACTGTTGTTTATTTTAATACTTCTAACTTGAAAACATTCTTTTCTACGAATACTGCTGTATTTACATTTTGATACCTCTTTGCAGAGGCTGTTTGCATGGTGATTCTAGTAGAGTTCTGAGTTTTATTTTTAAATCCTCCAGGTAAAACACCTCTACTTGGTCCATTCCTTCTATTGAGAGGGGATGATGGACGAAATTATTTTGGGGTAGTTAAAGCCAAAGATTTCACTCTTGTGGGAGGCCCGCATATTTCCTATTAAGGCTATATTGTAATGCTGTGCAATTTGCTCCATATTCAAGCTCTTCTTTTAACTATCTCTGTTTACTTATTCACTGCCACAGAGCACTTAGTAGGTCAAAACAGTAAGAAAGAGAGCAGTCAGTCTACAGTAGAGCACCCCAATCTGGGAGCAGGAGGAGTGGAAATGCAAAGAACATTGGTTCTTTGGAAATGCAACGGAGCACAGTGGCTTTCTGGGTGAGCAGGCAGGGAGTAGAGCTGATCAGGGTAGGGAGCAGAGTTGTTGCTGCTTTGGGCCTGAGATGGGAGAAAACAGCTGCCTTTCTCAAAAGAGAGAGCATGCACCTGGGCAGGGGGTGAGCTGCAAAGCTGCCTTATTCAAGCAGGGGCAACCACAGGACAACCTTGCAGGGAGACTTGGTATCTGTCAGAGTAAGATGCTCTTCCATTTAACAGCTTGGGGAGGACTATTCCTTCCTTTAGCCTCTCTTGGGGGAGATAAAGGACCATCCTGTGGCCTTTGTACAGCACTTGAATGAGGCCTGAGCTACTTGGGTAAGGCGCGCTCTTTTTTTTTTTTTCATCCTTTGTCTATCAAGTTCCTAGACACTAAACAAAAGAAGATAGAAAAGACCCTTCAGTCTGATCACAATGTCAGCACTGCCCCACTCAATGACTGCCTTTGGTCCTTTGCTGTGAGATCCATAGAACTATGCGTGCACTTGCTGATTAATGTATGATGCACTGTCTGACACCCACTCCACTTTCTAATTAGGATTTATTTATGTTGAAGGGAACTCTGACCTGTATGTACATTAGATATTCCAGAATTATTGATCCTCAGTCGCATGGCTTATTGTAGGCTAGTGGGTTATCTCCACTAAAAAACTGTTTCCCTTATAGTGCGGCCTCCTTGTTGCTAACTTGCAGCTACTTCCCCCTCCTGTCTGTCTGTTGCTTATATTAATAATACATTATTAATAAATACATTTTGTCATGTTTTAAGAAGTTAATAGGCCTGCCTCACAACCAATTTTGATCACTCACTGACGCATAAATAGCATGTGCCAGTTTTCAAGCCATTAGTTAGTGGTTTTTGTTAAGATAAGTTGCTCTGTAGATGGTAATCCAATTGCTCAGTTCTAGCTTTCTGAAGTGTGGACCAACCTTTAATAAGGCTCAGGTCACTTGTTTGGAACTGTGCCTGTCTCATTGACTGAGGTCCAACAGCAGCATTGAATATGGTATGTCATCCCAATCAGCATGTGCCTGGTCTCCAAATGCAGTGTGCCCATTAGATAGGCCTGCTGCAGTGGAACTGAAAGCGTTCGGTGTGTGTTATTTCACTACTTAAGTTTCCCAGAGTGTCTGCTATCTCTTATGAACACAAGATAGTTTTACGCACAGAATATTTCATCTGCAGGAAACAGAAGCTTCACAGATGTGAAGCTTGTAAAGGATAATTCCTCTTTTTGGTTTTTTTGGTTTTGTTTTTTTTTTTTAATTTCCATATTACATGAGTATGTGGTTTCTCAGGTGTTCAGATAGCATTCATTATCTGAGTGACAACTTCCCTTTGGAAGGATATATAGTCTTTATTCATTTTCTGATAAATCCAATAGCTTGGCTGTGTGGCTAGAGATTAACAGTGGCCATTCCCATTCAAAATTGAACCCATAGTTTGTTCAAAGAAGTAATCTTATTTCTCATGTGTTCTTTTTTTCAGTTTGGTGTATCTCCTGGATTTGTATCCAATCCTGCTATCTGGCTGAGGCAGTGATGGAAACCCTTATTACTTTAATTGGAGATGTTTGGAACTAGACCTTGGGTATCAAAAGAAAAATGAATTTAAAAGGCAGTTGCACTTCAGAGAGGGAAATTAATCCTTGAGAAAGGAAAATTCCTTCTTTGTTTCTGTGGAAGGAAGATTTCAGATAGGTTTTTAAAATGTGTTTCTTCCTGTAAATTGCGTCTAGAAATTAAAAAAGCTAAATCAAGGAAGAAGCTTCTTTTGCATTTTGGGTTTATTTTGTGAAAGCACAAAACTGTTTTCCATTTTGTTTTGAATGTAATTTAGATCTAGAAATAAGATCTACATGTTCAGCCAGAGATATAAGATAGTCCTGTAGTGCAGGACTTGTATAAAAATTAGCTTGTATAATTGTTTATTTATAATAATGGTCATAATCTGTTGGGCATTTTTTTTATGTCAAAAAAGGTCATAAGTTCTCCATTGTTTTCTCTTTTTTCCCTTTAGGTGTAATGTAGCAGCAGGAGTTTAAAATGTATGTGTTTTACTGAGGACAGAGAGTTAAAATTGCTTAAATCGGGGACCACTTGTACTGATTTAATTTACTCTCAAACTCTATGGAGGCCTGTAATATGGATTTGTGTGAAAGGTTATTGGTGTCAGACATAGGCTAGTTGCAAATTAATGCTTGGGACCCATTTAATAGTTACGTAGATTATTATTGGTGATGAGCCATTTACATGAACAGGTAAGATGAAAATGCATAAGAGAGTTTAGTTGTCTGACTTCAAGTGCTAAGAAGAAAGTCGAGTTACTATGCAACTGAGTCTAAAAGACAGCCATGCGCCTTTCTTTCTGGCTCTACCCTATGCGCATGTCTCCTTGTAACTGTGGGTGCATGTAACCTTAATCTATGGCCTGCAGTGGGTCAGTTACCGTGGTGCTGGACCTGGTGAGTTGAGTTAGAGGTGAACCTTGTCACATGTCTAGTTGCTTAAAGACTTACTCATTCTTATGGGGAATTAGGGTAGAGAATGAATCCCTAAATGAGTTGACTTTTATCCCCACTGCTTATGCCCTTCCTTGTCTCACTATGCCCACTAAAGCCACTCTACAGAGGATTCATCACAAGGTGCCTTAGGAACAAGGAGCATGTCTGAAATAACAGCCATAGATGTCATTAATCCAAGGGATTTCTTGTTTCTCTGCCCATTTGGGTAGAGGGGAGGCACTTCCTAAGCTCAGGCAAGGAACGCCCCTATAGGCTGTTGCTGGAGATTTAAGCTGTTCATTAGACTGCCTTGTTGCTGTAAGATGGGTAGTAGAATGGTGTTTGAGTTTCCTGGTGCCATAAGATCTTTGCCTTTTAAAGTCATATGCTGCTGTCAGATATCGAGGAACACCAGAGGACTACTCCTTTTGATATGCTAATGCTAAACCTGAGGACCAGAGGAACACTAGATAGACATAGAAGAGCATTCCTTCTGGCCATTCATCATTTTCTCTAAAAAGAGTGTCTGAATTCAGCGTTGTGAGTGGTGTGTGCTTATGTGTATTGAGGCTGGATAAGAGACCAAAGCAACAAAATTTGTTTTGATCTACAAGTGTGAAAGAACAGACTGTTTCTCTTTTTCTCATATCTGGGAAAATATTGGATGTGACAATGTCATGTAGATGTAGCAGAACATCTCCACTGCTAGAATGAAAAACTGGGAACTGATCATGTTAAATACATTGGCTAATTAGACTGTGAAAGAAGCCAGGAGTTTAGCAGGAGTCAAAGAGCTAAGTCATCTATCTAAATAAGTTGATTTGCAGTAAATACCAACTAAATAAAATTTTAGAAGATACACAAAACTGCAGAGTTCAAGTACATCTTGCTAGGAGGAGAACTTTCTGTGGGGTTATTCCATGTTTGCCTCCAAAAAGTCTCTGGCAACTTATTCTGAAACACTGGTGCTGTTGCAGCTGAAGACACAACATCAGGCCTGGTGGACAGTGGGTCTTACTACCCTTGGCTTTTCTGCATTCTGTTCTGGATTTTACAGGTTGCTTTCTCAAAAGCTTCATCACAAGAAATGTATCCTTTATCAGGTAGGGAGAGAGGAAGAATTTTGTGATCCATCAGCGAGGGTTATCTGGTTTAAGCTGATCTGGAATGGTGAGTCAAGTTGCTTGGGCAAGAAGCTGGATGCCAACCATTAAGCTCAGAGCTAAGGAGGCTTTGCCAAGTAAAGGAGCTGCGTTTGGAAATTATAAATAGCTGGAAATGGTCTCTCTGCAACCTCCAGGATGCCCTGGTGACTATCTGCTCTCCTCAGAGGGAAGCAG